TGGTTTTGAGACATCATGTATAAAGTCTAGAAAGTCTTCCGCTTGCTATAGTTTTTTTTTTATGAAATGTCTTCTTTGTAAAGAAAGTTTTTAATTCCTTATGGTTTTTAGTGTCTATGCGATGAATGAATGCTAAGAGGCTTGTATTAGACCTCTTCGAGGTCGAGTACGCCGGTTACGACTAGGGGGTGCTCCCGGGTCGTGACAGTCAGGCATGCGCGCACTGCTGGTAGTGCCGCCCCAGGCCTTGAACTACTGAAGTTAAGCCTTGGCACGCCGCCCCAACACCCGACAAATTTTCATTCTTAAATTAGGACCCCAATTTAGTTTAGAATTGGAAATTTTTTCCTAAACTCTTCTTGTTTCTCAAACCCAAAACTAATACATGAGAACTTCCATACAATTCCTTTAGAAAACATAAATTTACTAAAGATTCACAAAACAAAATAATCAAAACCTCAATTGTTAAAGAACCAAATTTAATATCAAGAAGTACGAATGGATCCTTTAGATGTACCGATTGCTTGACTAAATTGAGATGTAGGGCGTGAGGACGAACAAGTCTAATACTGTGAGAAGTCTTACATACCTGAAAAGAACAAAGGTTCTTGGCAAAAATTGATGGAAACTTCGAGAACGCTTGAACCCTAGTGTTTTTATTCTCTTTGAACCTCACTCAGATTATTCTAAGTGTTAAAGAACATGAAAAGATGTTTTAACACTGATTAGAACCTTAATTAGGTGAATAAAAAATGTGGTTTAGGCTTAGAAGGAGTGAAAAAGATCAAACTACCCCTCTAAAACGATTTAGATGCCTTAAAAAGAAGGTTTTACTAAAATGAGCATATCTTTTTACTTTGAGCTCGAAATGAAGCAAACGTGGTGATGTTGGAAACAGAACTCAAAGACCTTTAATTTTATATGTAATGGGCCACCTAGTTCTTTATGTGCTAATAAATATGATCGTTTGAAGTTAACCCAAGTAGAATCTTACATCAAAACTTAATCGGTATGGATACTTTCAACTCAACTTTGTGCTAGGGGGTTCTAGTGACCTTAATTCATATCCAAATCCATTCCACACTAAAGAATTGACATTTACACATAAGAAAAATTAAGAATCACTTGGTACAATCTTATTCACAAATGAAGAATAGTTTGAATCTTAACTTAGAAATTTTCAGGAAGCTACGCGTTGTAGTAAAAAATAGTTGTGGAAAAATATATTTTGATACATTATTAATTTAGAAGTTTGAAAACAATGAATTAGAAGAAAGTAGGGTGGTCAAAATTGGGTGTAAACACATATAATAATTAGGTGTTCCATGACCTATCAAATTAAAGGTCTATGAGTTTTCTTTCCAAATCCACCAAGTTTGTCTCATTTAGAGTTCAGAGTAAAAAGTTATGACCATTTTATCAGAGACAATCATAATAGATTTTTCAGAGTCAATAATTATGAATCTCATCTACGGATCGTAAATTTGAGTACTATATGTATTGTTCACTTGTAAAAAATACTTTTGATAGTCATTTTTTGGGTGTAATTTTGGCCCGTAAAATGAAGTCCTGAACTCTAATTTTGGGCTTGATTTCCACATATCTGATTACGGATCGTAAATTCAATTACGGGACGTAATTTCGGCCCGTAGAATGAACTTCAAAAACTCTAAATTTCAATATGACTTCCACGGATGGGATCGATGGATCGTAGATGGCTTCGTGAAAGGTTTTCGACAGCTTTTTGATTGGGGTTTATTTTGTCTTTTCCCATTTTTTCTAAGTCTAAGCCACGACATTACACATATTCTAAAAGGGTTTCACGCTCAAGACTCAGTTCCTACACTCTTAACTCCTTCAAACTCAGAAACTACCGCAAGCAAGGCAGAATCAGGGTTTCAAGTCTTTCAAGCGAGTTGTTCTTTCAAATCTCAGTCTCATAGGTATGTAAGGGTTCAATGAGAGTATCACTTCACTCTCATGCCTAAAGTATTTTTTATTTTCAAGAATTCTTCAAGATCGTTAGCAGCAAAGTTAGGACCTTTTTATGAACTTATGATATTCTTCATTAAGTCATATTTTCATCGTTTTACTTTAATTTTAAAAATCTTATTATATTGATTTAACATTATTTTCATGGTTCCTTAAATATTCTTGACTTTTCAGCATGAAGACCAGTATGATATGAATGTCAACCTGAATTCATGTTACTTAAGATATGATTTTTGAACTTAAAATCACATATGATTCAAACTGATAGGTAATTTTCATACCTATGAGCATTGTATGAATATATGTTGTTTCGTAAGGACTATTTAGTATATAGAGGATGCGGGTTTGGAAACTCAAAGTCCCATAACTATGTGCCAGCATAGGATTATGTTTCACCTCTTTGTCAGTTGACCTTTTAACCCTGAGAGGCTCAGATTAGTGAATCCAAATAGATATGATATGGTCATATACTCTGGCAAGATATAGGGCAACCCTACCAACTTGTTTATTTGTTGGACATCATGAGCTCACATGGTGTATGTCGGTTATAACAAACTCCTCGGTTTATGCACCTTTTTACGATATGCTCTTAACTTTATTTGATTCACTTTAAGTATGCTATTTACAACTATAATTTGCAAGGCTAATGAAATAGACTCATCTTTATATATGCTTTTGAAAGAAGATTTTGAATGATATGTAAACATGAACTCTAAGTGTTTTATTCTTAAGTTCTTTCACTATGTATATGATTTTGAGAATCTTATTTTTACTGACCTTGTTATGCCATTTTACGATTATGCTAGTGCCCCTTAATTACTTAGTACATTTCACGTATTGACGCATACTTTTCTCTCTGTGTTGCATCCTTTTATGGTGTAGATTTTGGCGTCCGTACTCGGAGACATGGCTAGTGAGGTTGCAACAGTTCTAACCAGCAGTTGGTGAGTCCTCCTTATTTTAGGACTTCCTGAATTAGTTGTTGGTCAAAGTTTAGTACTTTCTTTGTTTATTCGGTTTGAGGTAACTGAGGGCCATGTCCCGATGAACTTATTTTCTTTAGTCTAAATGTCAAAGGCTTATTTCAGACATTAGTTGTTTAATCATCATGAATTTATTGATTTCCATATTAAGCATATGTTTCAACTTTCAGATTAGTTTCATATGACATACTTTGATATGTTATGCAGAGGGTTAGCTTGGGACTACTCATGATTTTGAGTATTGTGTCTCGAATGGGGTGTAGACTCGGATCTTGACATTAGTTATTAGAATATATTTTTACATTTTGTATATTAAAAAGTAGAAATAATATTTAAATAAAGGGGAAAATGGTAATCCAACTCCAATTGTGATTAATATATTGTCATTTGTCCATAGTTGTTTTGCATAAAAATGACAACTTGTTTTAATTAGAGATAATTTAAGTTTGTTAACAAAAGAAATTATCTTATTAAATTATTACACTAAAATTCAGTAAAATATATATTTATTATTTTTCCTGATCTCAAATAATTGATGGTCGCACATCAACAATTGGTGAAATGATACTAAATAATCTATTCTGCAAGATGAGATTGACTGAGCACGACAAACTTATAATATTTAGCCATTAGATTTATGTGATAATCTTGTTGACCACTAATTTAAAATACATCATTTTGATGCATTGATTTGTTGTTTACAATTTTCAATATATTCATATCAATCTTATTCACAATTTTTTTAGGTATGAAAAAAAAGAAGGGAAATGCATAAGTACCCCCGAACCTATGCCCGAAATCTCAGAGACACACTTATACTATACTAAGGTCCTATTACCCCCCCCCCCTTCCGAACTTATTTTATAAATAATTTTCTACCCCTTTTCGGCCTACGTGGCACTATCAACCAGATACCTTGAAAAAATTGTCAACACGCGCTAGGCCCAGAAGATAGTGTCACGTAGGCCGAAAAGGGGTACTGAGATATTTCTAAAATAAGTCCAGGGGGTAATAGGACTTTAGTATAGTATAAGTGTGTCTCTGAGATTTCGGGCATAGGTTGGGGGGTACTTATGCATTTTCCCAAAAAAAAATTATAGCAAAGATTGGTCATTCTCAATTTTCAGCTCAATAAACCTTAAATTGTTACCTTTAATTGAACGTGAATATTTTTCAGAAATATTCATTTAAATATTTTTACCATTTTCTCGTATTTTCTCATTCAACAAAGTTCGTTTGAAGTAGACTTGCTAATATTGTTCTAGCACATTCTGTATGTTTGAATACGTTCATTTCAATAACTATTTCATCATTCCAATAGAAAGTAACTATCATATCATGTTCAAAGTTCGTCATCTTTATTCCCTACACGTAAAAATAAACGTTTTTTATATAATTAATAAGTCAGAAAAATAATTTTAAAACTATCGTAAAATCTTATTATATTTCTATGTACATTTACTTGACTTATTTAATTCATATCTGATGATTTTTTTTGAATATTGTTCCAACAATGGACAACACAAGTACAAATTTTGTTGAAAATTATTATGATGTGTTGATCATTCATTGCAACAGTGTTTAATTTATAATCATCTATGATCAACTTGAAAAATAAAGGAGTGTAACTTTCAAAGAGTGTCGTAATTGATAGTCATGTTTTAAAGTTAAAACGTTACTATCCATAATGTTTTATAAGTGAATTTACAAGACTAAATTTGCAGGAGTCAATTTCGCATTTGTAAGATTCGATTGTCCGTGATTGGATTTTAAAGAATCACTGTTATATTAGTTATGAAAAAAGTGTTTCTCAGAATAACGAATAACGTTTTATGCATGTTTACTTTGTCAACTATTTATCTTTTTGTCATTGAATTTTTTTGAAATAAAATAAAGCCTAATACGTTACTAGTTACTATCAAATACATTTATTCTAATTTTGTAAAAAAAACTTAATAAAATAATTTAAATAATGACTTATTTCGATCAAATATTTCGAATATTTACATGAGACAAAGGGTAATTTTGATCCCCCTCCATCCTGATCCCTGCCCTAATTTCAGGACCTCAAATTTCAAACAACAGGAAGCAAGAACAGAGGAAAATCCATGGAAATTCAGAGTCCGATGAAGCTAAAGAGATTGGTTGTGATCGGAAGGCATAAAAAAGACCGAATCAGTGATTTACCCGATGCCATCCTTCTTCACATCCTCTCTATGGTGCCGGACGGAAAACAAGTTGTGCGAACCAGCGTACTGGGTAAACGATGGAGGTCTCTTTGGATGTCTGTTCCAATGTCAATCGATTTCAACTTCCCCCAAACTGAAAATCTAGTCGTCACACTTGATTACCTGTCGTCCACACTTACAGAACTTCATTACTGTAAGTCGTGCGATAAAATACCCAGATTTACCGTTGGGGGATTTAGGTACGAACACTGTTATGCTAAGTATGTTGATTTATGGGTTAGTTTCGCTACTAAAGTTGCTAAGGTGGAAGAATTTTTGCTTGGATTGTTATCTGTAAATGATCAAACTTATGACTTCCCTTCGTATGCATTTAAGAATTCGTTGCTTAAGGATTTGGAATTGAGGAATTGCCAACTTAACCCTCGTGCTACTGTTGATTGGACTAATCTAAGCTCTCTTAAAATTGGGTATATCGATTTGACAGATGATGCTATGGAAAAGATATTATCTGGTTCCCCGAACTTGAAAAGCTTGGAACTAGATAATTTTTCCGGCCTACAACGTCTCGAAATTAACTCTGTCAAGTTGACACAACTGATGATAGAATCTTATTACAATGACAATGATGAGATTTGGCTTGAAATAGTAGCTCCCCATCTTCAGCATTTAGAAGTTTTGGAATTGTGCAGTGAGATACGCATTGGCCAGAGAAATGTGCCTTCACTTGTCACTGCAATCTTTCGTTTAAATTTTAATTTTGAGAATGAAGAACAAGACTTGGAGATGGAATTTAGCTGTTTGAAGGAACTTCTTCATAGTGTTGCCCATGTCCAGAATCTTGAATTGGGTACCTGGTGCATCGAGGTTTATTCATACACTTCATACTGCAATCTTGAATTTTTATTTACTATTGAATCATCACTATAGTAACTTTAACAGTTCACTACTTATAATCTGATAACTAAGTTGGTCAGTACTAAAGAGTTTGCAATGGATACAACAACATGTAAAATTTGGTTTGATTTACACATATCATACTTTTAGTTATGTTGATAGGTTTTTCCAAGTGTTTAAAGGTCCATCTTTGGATTTGCAAGCGAACCATGAACACGTTGATATGTGTACAGTCATATAGTCCAAGTTGTTTTTATGTTATATCCAACAATGTGCATTTCATTTATTAAGTATGCCATGTTTGTTTGTTTTGACATATTTTGGTTTGTCTGTTTTTGGTTTATCAGTGCGTGTCCATCCTAGAGTTGAAAGGGTGGCGGCCTCCACCATCAAGCCGGAAATTCTTAGAACTGAACCTAGCCGTAATACAATTGGACTTCCCTGGAATTTACAGCTTTCTACAGAGCTCATCGGATCTTGAGACATTGATCATTGGTTGTTGGTACAATCACAATGAAAGAGTAAGTTTCCTTTCGACCTTTATTTATATTACTTCATGTTATTCAAATCAAACAACTATTAGTGGAGGAATAAGCTGATATATATCAACCTATTTCTAATCTTAAGTACTTCAGGAAAGAAAATTTATTTAAGTGTTTTTTTTAATAGCAATCTCCTCAGTCACTTTACCATCCCAACTGTGCTTCCTTCCATGAGTTCTATTTTTGTTTTTTCCAATTCATCGTTTCCTAGGAGATATTGCAGCTTCCCTAGCTTCATTTTTAAAATATTCATCCAGTGTGGCATCCTCCTTGCTTCTCTCAAAAATGTTTGCACCTTGAGAACTTCTTGGAGAAAAATCACTAGGTCTAACATGTAGTTGCTTACTAGTGTTAATAGGAGTAAGAGAATTCACTCTTTCAATATTCGAACTCATCAGCACATCAAGAAGCGCCATGTCTATAGTATTATTAATCTTCTGAACATTAGAACTGCTGCGCAGAATTCTCAGATGATGCATCTGCCAGTTTCGAAATTGTATGACATCCCTGTTTCTGGTGCATCTGTCTAGCACTTGAACTTGCAATTTCTTTTGAACTCAACGCTCCATCTTTCATGATTTCAGGCGATCGCTGCCCCCAAGTGACAACTTCATTCCCCTGAATATTGTCTTCTAATATCTTCTCGTTCCCAGCAGCCTTCTTTAACACCTGATTGACTAAAATCTGTACCTCTGCTTTTGTGCCATGAATGGTCTTACACTCTTACCAACTTCAGAACCTGTAGCATCTGATTTCTCACCCAAATTACGAACACTCTGTGCAGCTCGTCTTGAATTAATAATTTCCCTAGCATTTCCCTGATGCTTAATACCTTGCATATTAATCTGCATACTTCATCTCTATGGCCTCGATGTTTGCATGTACGTCAATATGAAGGTTAATAATCATATGTTATTATTTGGTACACTATCAATTCATTCGACTTTGGCTCTAATGAGCAATCTCACACGTTCAGGCAAAGCTGCCAGTAAGTTGACTTCAACTTTAACTCTTGCTGTGCTTGGCCTTGTTTGATCTGTGATTGCTCTATCAACAACCAAAGGTCTGCCCACTGCTGATGCTAACAAATATAATGCCTCTCGAACGAAAAATTGCACCAGTAAATTCTGAAACGATATCCAAGTCAAAGCAATGGATTCTTCTTCTTTGGGATTAAACCAAGGGGTCCAACGAAAAATTCTAAATTGATAGTCTTCCTCCATGGATTTTCTCCTTCTCACCAATTGATGAAATAGCTATATGAATAGACAGCACCAAAATCCTCATGTGCCGTCAATCGAATTAAAATATGCCGTGAATCTAATGAAAATGTTTCATGCCCCTTTAACCTTTAGTTGTTGTGGAAAATACGCTCTCAACTCTGTCATTGCAAGTTTGCAACAAGATCATATCGCAAATTTTTCTCTTGGAAATTTATACAGAGCACATTGCAAATTTTCCTCCTGAATATCAGATTATTCAAAAACTATAGTAGGTTCTCCATTGATTATCAAAATTGTTGCACGCCCCTCTAGCTTCTCATGCTAGTGAATTAAAGCTGAAAATGTTAACAGTATGTTACCTTGACTTATGATTCAACTCTTTAATCTTTTTTTGTTGTTTGGATGTACCACATTGTAACATTTGCTAATATGTTCCTTGAATTTAAAAATTCTTCACCTTTTTGTTTTATCCACAATCAACTCCTTGCCTTCATGCTTTCTTCTAAGGACAATAATTGGTTAATATAGTGTATTCTTTCCTACAGAATCTGTTGGCAAGGTACACAGATGAGGATGAACTGAGCGAGAGGTTTGAGAAGCATAATGTTAAATGCTCATTTTCACATCTGAAGACCATCACGATCAATAACTTTTCTGGATCATCAAGTGAAAATAAGTTTGTGCTGCAATTGGTAAAATATTTGCTCAAGCATGCAGCCATGCTAAAAGAGTTTGTCATTGCTTCCACATACCAATGGATGTCTCCGGAGTATCGTAAAATGGCACAAAAGCTCTTAAGCTTTCCAATGTCCTCTCCGCACGCTTCAGTTGTCTTTTCTGACATATAACCTTTGTCCCTTACAACATACCTTACTAACAATGTGTTTATGCTCTAAACAGCAAGAAAGTTTGTCGTAAATGTTTTATTGACTTATACTCATTGTTTGTGAGAATAGTTTTTCAAGATTCAGTTATGTGTCCAAGGGCTTTGTTTTTGTTGGCCTATGTTATTTTTAATTGGTGGAATGATTATTTCTCGACTTGGACAGTGAATGACCTTAGGAGGGAAGCAAGGCAGTGGAACCTTGTCCCAGCATGTTTTCTGGGGTATTACAAAAGGAAAGAAATAGCATGTGTATATCTGCAGAGTTCATATTAGATTAGTTTGTATCAGAACTTTTATGTTATTGAAGACTTTATGATAATCTGTATGGTAAATTGTTGAGTCCTGTACTGTTCTCTACCATCTTGGTACTTCATTAATGATATCTGGAGAAATCTGCAGTTATTATGCAAATTAACTGTCAATAAGGGAAAGGTTAATTTATCTTACTTCTCTCCACACCTAGCGGTGTGAGGGCGCACGTGCACCCAGTAGTCTAAGAAAAGATGATATATTTAATTGTGTACTATGAACTCATTTGGTTGAAGCTGTGTTTCAAGCATTTTTTATTTATTTATTTTTTTGGTTTTCCTTTAAAGCAGTGGTGCCCTCTCTATCTTCAATTCCAGAGTTTGCCTTTTTCACGCCCATCTTGTAACGGGGAAGCTAACGTGGTAGGCCGGCCCTTTATATCTGGGTATCTAGGATTTTCAGTAATTTTATGATGTTTACATTTGTGAAAACAACCTAATCATACAAATTGTATTCGTTGATACACTTGATAAAATTATATCCGTTGATACACTTGATAGAGGGTGAATACACAAGGAACATATACACTTGATACAATTGTATTCATTGATAAAGTTGTTGATACAAATCAATTACATTCATTAATACAACATGTCTCCTCTCTCCCGAATCTTGCTCGTCTCTCGCCTTTCTCTCTCCCAATCTCACTCGTCTTTCTCCTTTCTCTCTCACACACTTTCTCTCCTCACTCTCCCAATCTCGCTCGCGTCTCTCCGTCTTCTAACATGTAGCTATGGGTGATAATTAAGCAAATTGTACCTCTCTAATTAAGCCCAAACTATAGTCATTTTTGAAAGTTGCTCATAAATCAATCACCCAATTAATTAAGCTTCTTGATTTTAACCTTGTTGACTGATAATCATACGTAAAAAATGTTGCTATTTTGACGATGGGTTTATCTATTTGATAAGTAGTGAAGTAATATTTATATATATATATGTGTGAAAATTTTATAATTGACATATATAGGACTAATAATTTCAAGTTATGACATTATAATAATTCTTTCAAGTTGTAACAATAAAAAAATTGCAGTTCTAACATTTTATTAAAAAAAATGTTTAAAAATATAAGGTAAAAACAGATATATTAGTAGTAATTAATATGTGCCATAAAATTAGGAGATTCAAAAAAAAGGAATAATTGTTTTCCTTTTTTTAACTCAAATTCGTTCAAAAACAAATTTTCTTCTTTTGTTCTTCTTTTGTTCAAACGTTTTTCTCTCCTCTCAATTTTTTCTGTAATTTGTCTTCACTCACAACTAGTTCCAATTCGTTTTTATTCAATAATCTTCATTTTGTTGTAATGAACGTCTTCTGATCAATATCAATAAAGTATGGTGGTAGATGGGATCCCTCAGGTTAGTGTTCTTTGCCATTTTTTATTAATATTGTTATACTACTGAAACGTAAAAAAAAATTAAGAACAATGATACTGGAAAGGAAATTTCCAAATTTTGTTTGTGTATAATAGAATTTAATTGTGACGTTTTTTTGTATGAACATTCTTTTTTTGAGATTACATAATATTTGTTTGAAATTGGAATAGATTTTGGTATGATTTTTTAAAATTTTTTTTTATGGTTTTTGGTAAAAAAAAATACATAAAATTACATACCATTTTTTTGTACGATTTTGAAATTATATTTGAATGAATTTTGTATACTGTTTACTTAATAAACGACAAATAATTGTTAAAATTAGTATTATGTTTGTATTATATTGGCATGATTCTGCTATGAAAAAAATTACAACTTATGGGATGAAATAGTAATAATGTTAGCCTGATATATGTATGAAATGTGTATACTCCATTCTATAATGTTTTATGGCTTGAATGTTTTTTTTTTTTGGCATTATTATGGAATGTAATTTGGTGACACTAATGTAATGAATTTGATATACTGTTTATTTAAGAAATTACAATTACTATTTATAAGTTGGATTTATTTTGATATTCTATCGGCATGATATTGGTATGAATAATTGATGACGGTTGACATTTGCCCTTTCTTTTGATTGTAGAAGGAAGATTTTCTGATTGAAGAGGTGATAGTGAGATGTAGAAACGGTTTCTATGGAAGATGATTGAAGAAGTGATAGAGGAGTTGGTAATTTTTGAATGTCGGGGTGGTGGGGTACTGACTAGAACAATTGTGGTGACATGAGGGGTCTGAATTTGACGTGTAACAGTAAAAAAAGAACAAGAATCAAGGTAAAATTCCTAAAAATGTGTAAGAGATAATTACGATAGATTCTTTATTTATATCATTTAATAATAAATATAAAATTATAAAAGACTAATTATTTAATAAAGTAAAATTAAATTGATTTATAAATAAAAATTAATTTGTTATAATCTGTAATTAAACGGTAATAAGCAAGAATGTTTTAAAAATAGATTTAAAACCCGTAATATTATCCCTTAAATATAGATGTGGGTGATTTTTCATATATATATAAAATATGCATCTATTTCTTGTAACTTTTGAAAATATAAATTTACTCCAATATACTTTTGATAAATCTGGTAAATTAGAATTACTATATTTTGAATAGAAATATATATACTCCCTTCACCACTTATTAAGAAACAATAAATAGAGAGATAATATTACTGTATTAGTATCACACTTTATTAATTATAAATCAGCTAAATATTATAAAATAAATAGTAGTAATATTTAATAACAAGGATAAGACATACACAAAACAAGAATTTATTTTTTAATCTTTCAAACTGAACAAGTAAAAATAAGGAAAAAAGGTCTGAAATATATCCGAACTTTGACCGAAATTGTTGTAACAATACCGAACTTTGGAAAGGACCTTTTACCCCTGCACTATTTAATAGTATATTTTAAGGTATATATGTGCCCACGTGAACATCATAAATATTGCATCATTATAAATAGTAACGTGTCCACGTGGGCACATATATACATTTAAAATACACTATTAAATAGTGTAGGGGGTAAAAGATTCTTCATAAAATTTGATATCGTAATAGCAATTTCGACCAAAATTAAAATATTTTTGAGACAATTTTCCCTAAAAATAAACTGAGGAAGTAACAAATGGGCTTATGTTTTGGAGAGAAGAAGAATCTTGTTGGTTTCTCAACTGGGTGTGGGGTTTGTCAAAGTGCGTTCACTAATTAAATTAAAGTCACTTTTAAAAAGGAAAAAAGACATTGTGATTCGTGTCAAATCTGGGGGTGAATTCAGAATCCTCTTTTTTTTTTTCAAAGTCATAATATTTAGTACTGCAATATAATGCCTGCCTCTCGATACCGAATCTGACATTACATTAATTTAATTATTGCTTATGGATATTGGTGATGCTTGTAATTTTCTCATGAATTTAAAATTAACACAAACATAATACAATAATATTGTTGCATGTGTTTGACATGCAGCTTATAGGGAATTATTATGCATTTCCTTGAGAAACTTTCGCATATAGCCACTCAAAAATAGCTTAGCTACGCTTCATAGCTATAGTTAGGGGTGTTCACGGATGGGTGAATCGGTTATTGGTCAAAACCAAAACCAAACCAACTTAATCGGTTTTAAAATGATCAAAACCAAACCAAACCAAATATAATATATATTTATTGGTTTGGTCATTATCGGTTTCGGTTTAATTTGGTTCGGTTATTCGGTTATTAACCATACACAAAAATAAAAGAAACAATTCATTCAAAATGTGAAAAAAGTGACAACAATCCATTCAAAACGAAAATAGTTAGAATGACTTAATTACTGAACTTTCAATCACTAAATTTAGTATCAATTAAAGCTTTAAAATTCACTATATTGGCCTAGAAGGAAGAGACAATAACATTTTCAGTTCCACAAAAAATTACCATAGACACTTATATACATGAAATTAATAAGATAAATGTTTTCATCTTGGGCATTTTTGCTTTCAATAAGTAAATTGTATAGAAATTTTAATGAAATATATATAAGATCTTTAAAGTTGTTTATAAAAATAATATATTAAGTATTTATATTAATAAAATATATGTATGTAATTCATCGGTTCGATTTGGTTTTTTCGAATAAAACCATAACCAAACCAAATACTATAGGTTTTCAAAAATCTAAAACCAAACCCAAATAAAATCGATTTGATTTTATCGGTTTGGTTTGATTTTTCGGTTTGGATCGGTTTTTATCCAAACCGTGAACACCCCTAGCTATAGTTTACTAATTACGATTCGTAGCTACATGTTATAGGGAGGAGAGTGGCGAGTGAGACTGGGAGAGAGAGAGGAGAGAGGTGAGTGAGAGAGGGCAAAGAGTGGGAGAGAGGTGAATTGTATATGTATATTGGTTAGATAATTGTATATTATACATATGTATTTTGTATATTCTGGCGAGCGAGACTAGGAGAAGGAGGAGAGAGGCGAGCGAGAGAGGGAAATAATTTGTATATTTCGCATCTCGTTTGTATAATTCGCAGATACGTTTGTATAATTGGTGTGTTTTTGTATAATTGAGTAATAAAAAGTCTGGAATTATACAAATATGATAAAACTCGAAATAACGAATTGATACAAACATAAACATATGAACTTTAAACAATTAGACAAAATATATTATATAAATTATATTATACAAAATCCGAAAACTATATGTTTATACAAACTTGAAAAAGTTATACACAAAAAGATTAGAAGTATCAAGTATATGATGACAAAACTGAAAAATCAAAGGAAATCATCGCCATATTCAAATACAACCATCGTATACAAATACAAATCAAATGAAGAATTGTTAGTTGTGAATTATACAAATGTGCCGAATTATACAAACATGACTAATTATACAAACTCGAAGTCAATCCACGTAATTAATGGTTAATGTTAGTCGCGAGTGGTAATTATAGCAAACTATAGCTATGATGAGTAATTAAATAGCATAAGTTTACTTAACCGCGTAATTTTCCCTTCTTTATTTAATCATTCACATAATTCTTGATATTATTTCCCAAAACATGGATTTACTATACTTCCTCTGTTTTATTT